TATTAATTTAATGATTATATGCTGGCCATCTGCCTACAAAACCACTTGTCCTTAGAGAGGAGGTATTTACTGTAGTTCAACTTGATTTAAAAAACAAAATGAATAATTTAATTGAATCATAGTTTTACCACATGAAAGACTTCATTGTAATATGTAATAAAATGAACAGACAGTGAGTTTTGAACAATATTTACTATTAATTTATGGTTGCACAAAATGTGTCCCACATTTTTGTCACCACTGTCAGATATTTATAAAAAACAATAAAATCAGGCAACTACAAGGTCAACTACATTCTTTAGGACCCCATTTTCAAATCTTCAGCTCTACTGCATGCTTCAAGATCACTAAAGCTCCTTTAAGTGTACTATTATCTCTTAAATTTGTTCACATTTTTGGACACTGCCACTGTCACAACCATAATATGTCACCACCGTCTCTTTTGTATAAAAAACTAAATATGATTATGACACAAATCTATACCTTTTAAGAAGAGGGATGAAGAAGCTAGCAATAGAGGGGAAACAAGATGGCTAATGTGAACAGTTAATCCATAGCATGTGAAAGAGTAGATTTCTGTCACCACTGTCAGATTTTTGGTCTGACGGTGGTGACATACAGTCTGACGGTGGTGACTAAACCCCCCAAATGCTCTCAAATGGAGGCTAGAATATCATTTTTGATCACAATAAAAACCATACATGACCTGTAATGTTACTGATAAACTGTACAGTTGAATAAGGTGTGCCTGCTCTCTCTTTTATTTCACTATTATGCCACATGTTCATTTGGATTACGTCACTGAGGATGCACATAGGGCATCTACTACTTACATAACACATAGTATATCCATTGCAAGTCTATGCAACTTTAAAGACTAAAGTAAAATGAAAATGGCATGGCTACATTTAACCAAATTTAACTTTCTTTGTAATTCCACCAATTTTATAATCATTTTTATGTTCTTTAGGAAGCTATGGTTAGGCAGCAGCTATCTGTGGAGGAGAGAAGGAGAAAAAATAGAGAATACCAAAGCAAGAGGAGAACAGAAATACAAAGTCAGCTAGAGCTAAAGGAGGAATACCTTGGAACAGAAAGGCAAAGATGGAAGAAGAGGATGGAGGAAGGGAAGCTGAAACCTATCAGTGACTTGAATGAGAGGGAAAAGCGAAGTCAGAGAAAATCTTGGAAGTGTAGACAACAAGTGTCAAGAGAACCTAAGAAAAAGGACTCAGATCATTCAGAAACTCCCCCAGACAGTCCAGTGGATCAGGCCATACATGAGCAAGTAGGCAGGCTATAGAAGGAGAAAGGGAAAGAAAGAAAACAAGAGCAAGGTACTCTAGAGAAATGAAAGCTATGAGAAATAAACTTCAAGAAGTAAAAAAAGATAGAAACAAAATGAAAAAGTGTTGGATACGAGAACTAGCTAGGAGTAAAAAAACACAAGAATCACCAAGAAAAAAAAAAAAAAACAGAGCAACTACTGCTGGGAAGTAAACTAAAAAATCCCTCCATAAAGAAAATGCTGCTGTTTCACAACACACTTATTCATGAGCTGAAACAAAAGCAGGTCTACACACAAGAACTTGACACTGTCAGGCAAGATTCTGAAAAAATATTGTCTAATTCAACAGACAAGACAACCTTCTTACATTAAAACAATTACTCAGAAAGTTCAGGATTTCTACCATAATGCATCACGAATGACAACTGACTAACAGGACACAGTCACACGCAAGAAAATAAAGCATCAGAGAATGATTTTGACTGACACAATATTGAACCTTTACAAGGAGTTCACCAAAATGGAACCAAGTGCAAAGCTCAGCTATTCATCCTTCTGTGCCTTACGTCCCTTCTATATCACAGCACCAAGACTGTCGGATCGTAAGACATGCCAATGTCAGTACCACGAAAACGCTAAGCTGATGCTTGAAGTCTTAAAACAAAATGGTGTTGTCAAATCTAGCAAACTGGAGGATAGTTTTAAACTTTTCTGCTGTTCACAGACAAGCGAGGCATGTCTTCAGCGCTCCTGCACCCGGTGTCTATGCAAACATACTCTTACCACACCACAACAAGATCAGATCAATGTTGAATGGCATCAATGGGAACGAGTTCAGGATCAAACAGATGGGCTCCACTTCAAAACAAGACTTGTTTTGTACAGTGGTACACTGGGAGAGCTTATCCAATGATATGAAGACAAACTGAAGACAGAAACAATACATGTGTGTTCAGTTCAGAACCAGATCAGAGAGTACAGGAACATGATCGAGAAGTGCAATGATAGCACAGTAATTGTGCATGTGGATTTTTCTGAGGCATGGAAATGTAAGTATAGTTCTGAGGTACAGTCATGCCACTTTGGTCAGAATCTTCCACAGCTCAACTTGCACACAGGCATGTACTATACAAAACAACAGAAGACAGGCTTTTACACAGTATCAGAATCCAGCAAGCAATACAAGAACAAGAAAAACCTCTCTCTTCTCTGCAATGTCCCTCAAACTCTAGGTTTCAAAAGAACAACCTGGAACTTCTTCCCCACCTCACATGGGAAGGGAGCCCCAGATGGCATTGGAGGAACTGTGAAAAGGACTGCAGACAGCATTATACTGCGGGGGAATGACATTGTAGATGGGACTATCTTCCATGAGATGGTTGGCAGAAGCCTCTGCAGTACTAAGCTCTACATCATCACTGAAGCAGACATGCAGCCATATGATGCACTCCTTTCTCAACCACTAAAACCTGTACCTGGTCACACCGACATACCAAAATGACTCTGAGATCTATTATAGATCACTGTCCTGCTTTTGTAGTGAGCCACAGATGTGTGAGTGTTTCAGCCCAACAATATTTCAGTTTACTTCCAACACACTCAGGGTACAGGTTGAGGATGATGGTCCTATACCAGTGCAAAAGAGGAAAAGTCCTTTGGCAATGTTGATGGAAGAAATGGAAAAGGAGGAAAGTGAACAAGAGCCAATGGAGGAAGAGCTACCGATCAAATGTGGTCCTGCTGGGACTGTGACAGATTTGTCTGCTGATGTAGTTCATTGTGGAGATTGGCTTGCCATCATTTCTGACCAGAACTGGTGGTTAGCAAAGGCTTTCACCGTGGATGTTAATCACCAATATTTGGAAGTGGAGTTTTTCCATCCTCATGGGCCCAACATACAATTCTATCCAAAAAGAGGTGGAAAGGTGCTTCATACCATTTGACCACATTCTGGTCAAACTTGTGGAACCATCATCGCCAGGCCGTGCAAGCAAGATGAGGGAGAAATACAACCTGTCTGCTGAAGTCATGGACTTCATAGAAGAGAAACATATACACCATATACTTCCTAATGAAGTTAAATGACTTGTGGAAAAATGGTAAACAGTCAGGAGTTCAAATATAGATTGTTTTGACGTGTTTTGAGGTAGAATGCTTTCTGTATTTTGAAACGTTTAAGTTTATGCAAAAGAGACTGAGACAAAGGTGTTCATTTATCTGTTCTTCATGTACAGATTTGTTCCTTACATTCCTTAAAAACTGTTCATGACAGTGCTCAGGATTTGTTATTTTTTATATCAAATACTTAAATAAAGTTGTTAAGCAAGACACAGTTGACTTGAGTGGATAAATTTATGAATTTCATATTTTTATGAGGCTACCATCTCCACCGTCAGATTAGTGTCACCACCGTCAGTTCTAAAGTCACCACCGTCAGAGGGAGTTTTATTTGAATTAAATAAATGTGTCAACAATATGTTTCTTCAGTGCTGTTAAGTTATTAAAGTAATAGTTTGTATTGACAGACAAATACGTTTGTCAAATAAAAAAACATTATTTTCTTTATGTAGGCCTAAATTAAACATTGCATAATGTTAGATCTTTTAATTGCGTCCATGTGAAACAGTATAAAAATGAACAAAGGTGAATAATAAATATTTTACAGTGTATACATGTACTAAGAAAACCAGATATTGATTTTAAAAAGCTATATACAAATTAAACCATGTAAATAAGACATTATTTGCTTTTTATTGTGTCTGACGGTGTTGACAAATCAAAGTAATGACTGGGAAAATGTCTATTTTATGAAAAAAAAAATTTTTTTGGGGAGGTTGCACCAGTACATCGCTTAATAGCTAAGACCTTGTTGTACAATGATTTACTTTCAGATTTGGTAATTTCACAAACTTTTTTTTCCCAAAAATAAAACCTGTTTTTGCCAAAGTTTCAAGAATCAGTGAGTTGATAATTTTCATTTGTCTGCTTGTTTGTTTTCTTTGTGTCTCCCTCTTTTCTACTACGTAGCACAGAGAGGAGTGATCTCTGGTGTCAGGTGTTTGCTAGGTGCATGGTCTCCTGTGAACAGGCTTTCAGCCGGAGGAGCGTCTTCAGTTTTCTGACACCTTCATCCAGCTGCAGACGCCTTGGTTTTGCAGGGAGTTTTTATTTTATTTTATTTTATGTACATTACTTAAATTTCATAAACTTGGGTAGTGACGTTTACAGCTTCAGCGGCCGTTGTTATTTGTTGTGGTCCAGGTCAGTTCCTAACGTTTCTTTTACATACGTACATTTCGTACAAAACTCTAACTACACATTCAATGCAAGTGTATTTGCAGTTTTGGCATTGTTGTTCACATTTTATATCTGATTTTTTTGTAAAATTTTGTAATTTGTAATTTTTTTGGAGTATATTTATTTTATTATTTTTTTCTTCTATATTTCTGGATAGACCGGGACCTTGGGTATGAAATTTCATTCCACCACATGTATATGTGTTGCGAATGACAATAAAAACTTCCTTGATTCCTTGACTCATAAACTTCTGTAAGTGGTATTTAAAATTGTCTCTAAGCAATATTATCATTTATCGCGATAATTTCTGAGACAATTTATTGTCCAGCAAAGTTTGTTATCTTGACAGGCCTAGAGCTCAACAACTGGCCATTAACACTGCTGTGCAGTTTACTTACTGTCAGAAAGATCAGGGATCTTAACTAAAAACAAAGAATTCAGCTGATTAAACTGAATCCTTAACACAGATATTGTTTTATGTGACATGACCTTCTTCTGAATGAATTCAACAACACAAGACAGAGCTGAGATAAAACAGACCATGTTCCCCCAGACTCACAGAGCTCCACTGTCTCAGAGCTGTGATGGAGTCAAACAGCCTGCAGACCTGTGGTTGGATTCTGTCGACTCACAACTGCTATCAATAAACCACAAACACACAAAAAAAACACCAGGAGAGTCTGAAGTCAGCAGCTCCAGCTTTTCTTACCATGTAGGAGGCGAAGATGAGAACTCGTTTATGTTTCCCACAAGGCCACTGGGGGTCACTGAGGAGGTTGGGGTCGTAGTCCATCACATCATCTACACCTGAAGCACAGACAGCAACAGAATTAAAGATGAATCGACACTGTGCTGAAAGTTTAAACAGTAACACGTCTTTGTTATACAGATGTTTACAGACACTCATCATCAGCATGAAGCTCAAATGACTTTGGTTTTTTTTACAATATGGGTCAGAATTATACATACAAATCTAAATTTAATCATACTTTTCACCTAAATCTGTTAAGTGGTAGTGGAGGTTCTAAAATATCTTTTGCTTTGACAAAAACGAAGCCTATTAATTAATTAWTTTATTTATTTATTTATTTATTTATTTATTTATTTCTAGGACTAATTAATTAATTAACCTGTTAGTGATCATGACTGACTGCAGCTAACAGCTTTTCTTTGACAGCATAGAAAGATTTGTTAGATAGCACTTACAGTATATGTATATTATATAGTGTATGTATAGTAACAACTACAGGCATAGTACTAGGAACTCGGTCAAAACCAATTTTCTTTCTACAGCACATTTAAAAAAATCATAACTGATAGAATAAATACAAACATAAAAACAAACAAGTACCATAAACAACAAACTGAACACAAGACATCTAGTACACTATTGTTCTATTTATCTATTAAAAACTCATTTGACAGAATAGAACTTGAAAAATCGTCAGACTTAAAAGCTTAAAGGGGACCTATTATGCAAAATTCACTTTTAAAGGTTTTTTTTACTCAACTTTGGGTATGCACTTCGTAAAAAAACAGTCCTAGGACCAAAAAATGCACCCAGGGGCATATTTACTGTAAGTAAATGTATTTTTAATATATATTAACGACAAGTTTTATACTTCCTACATTTTGTGATGTCACAAGCCGTACGACAACCCACCGGAACCTGCGTTCAGCCCCTTACCTAGCAAACCCCGGGTGAGACTCCACCTCCTCAGTATAAAAAGCCGTCACGGTRTTGTTGTGTAATGTGCAGCTCATTTCACAACATGCCTCCAATAGGTCAATGGGTAGAGTGTTGGACCACAGAGTGGAAGACCACAGTTCGAGACTGGCATGGACAATATTTAATTATTTATGTTCGTTTTGAACACATTTTCTCATGTAGCTCTATTGTTTAGCTTATTAAAGCCTTGTTAAAGCCTATTTGTTTGAGTTTCTGAGGTATTTTGACCRCTGCTGCTCCCTGCTCTGGTAACAGCATGCAGAGTGAGCGCAGAGTGAGCGCAGAGCAGAGGAGGGAGAAAAAAAAAGAAGCTGCGACCGCCTCTGCCTCTGGGTCTCTCATATGGTTGTACAACGGAGCTTCTGCTATTATTAGCCATGCTAACGTAAACACTGGCTTTGGAGGGCGGAGTTAATGTCAACAGATTCTTGGAGGGCGTTACCAACAGAGCTCATTAACATAAAGAGCTCTTCTGAAAGGAAGTCAGAGCAGGCAGAACTAGAAAATGGGAAATTTTATTATCTGAGAATTATTTTGTGCATTACATACCATAAACATTTCTAGGACTCATAATTGGTCTCCTTTATGGACTTAAAACCTTTAAAGAAGAAAGTTGACAGTTTGACTGTTGTTTGTTTATACTGTATGTCTTATTGTCCAACTAGTGTCATTATTAAACAACTGCTAGCTAAAGGATGACATCATGAGAAGATTAAACATAAAACCTGACATTTGTGTGCACGTTGAAACACACATGTGCTGCCTTCTTTGTCCACACACAGCTGTGCCGGGTTTAGGTTTAGGATCACGTGTTACGACAGACTCCTGTCTCTGTGTGTGTTTACAGATACAGGACRTAAAAACAGACCCTCACGTGCTGAAAATATATCGTGGCAGATGTTTCAGCACAGCTGTTTCTAGTCTTAATCCTTCCGTCCTGTCTTTGTTTTCACTTCACTTCCATCTTTCTTTCTGCTGTTGTTCCCTTCCTGTTCCTCTGACTTCAGTTCCTGGATTCATCCTGTCTTTTATCTCAGTTAACGGAAACTAAACAGCTTCGCAGCCAAAGTCACTCAGATCACAAGAGGTTCTGATCCATTCTGACTGAAAGATGCTTTAATTTATGACAGTTATTTATAAAATTCAATTCAGTTTGTTGTGTTCATGTCTTATCCAGCAGTTTAACATTTGTTGCCTCAGAAAGTTGTGTGTGTTGTGATGTGTGGTGGTGTGTTGTGTTAACGCATGGTTTATTTATTTAATTTTTCTTTTTTTTCTTTCTGCTCTCAGGGGAGTAAGACACTTCTTCCTTCTCTCCTGCCCTTCCTTATTTTTCCCTGCTTTGCTGCATGGAGCCTTCTCTACATTTTTCATCCAAAACTAGAAATCATGGATTTTTTTTATGGATTTAGTTAGCTGGTCTCTTAATAAAATTTTTGGAACAAAGTTTTTTCTTCTTCCATGGGAGGACATGTCAAAGGTGAGACCTCTGTTCTTCTCTGTTCTGGATATACGTCTGGATTCTGATCACTGGATTCTACAGATTGGCTTGGTGGTCTCCTGGTGTTCTACAAAATAGCGTCGGTGGCCGTTCATCTCCTGGCTGACTGACCAATTCGATGGGTGGCCGTATTCTATCAGAACTCGGGCATTTTGCCTTGAGCGAAGCTGGACTCGGTCAGTTCTGTTGAAGGTCGTGGGCCGGCTGTGGTCCCTGGAATTTGCTGGACAGATGGAATTGATCTTGGAGGATCTGATAGATTCGGCTCGGCGGAATTTATCCAAACCAATCGCCTGATTGGAATCGCCACCTTGAGATGTACCAGCAGGAACTCTAAAGCAGATGGAAAATTGTTGTCGTCTGCTTGTCTCTTTTGTTCCCAAAACAACTGATTACAGAATCTGGATCTCCCTGGCAATGGCCTTGATCTGTTGACTAAATTCTTCCTGGCTGGATGTGTCAACAAAGGCTCTGCCCCTTAACTTCCTCCCCTCCTCTCACCCGTCTAACCTTTTTTTCCAGAGCTGGCTGAAAGCTGCACAGAAATGAACAGTTTCCATCAATATTTCTGAACTATAGCTGTGCTGGTTTTGGGGACTGGATTCTTGGGGGCCCCTTAAACTCACTTACTCCTCTGGCTAATAAACTTGCTCTATGCAGAGTTTTTTCATAAACACCATAGTTTGTCAAAGTGTTGATATAATATGATGTTTTTGCTTTTTTCCTCATCTTCCCTTCCCTTGTGTGTTTTTCAGTTTTTCTTTGTTTCTAAGTTGGCGCCACGGCAGGCTGTCTGTTACTGCAACTCCACTGTTTTGATCTGCTGTAATGTTCAAATTTCCCCACTGTGGGATCAATAAAGTTGTATCTTTTCTTATCTTATCTTATCTTATCTTATTTTCTAGTTTTATTATTCCTAGAGGCTGGAGGAAGTGGGACATTTAAGTATTACTGTCTGTCATCATTTTGTTTTGATGATTCTGATTATTGCTTGTGCTGAACCTAAAAAGTGAATTATAATTTAGCCTGTGTGTGAACTTGTTTATCTGTTAGCATAATATCTAATGAACTACTGGATAGATATGAATTTAACACTTTGTAAATAGTTATAGGATTATAGGTTATAGGATCCTTTTAAGATTACCACCACAGCTAATTAACATTAGCAAGATAAGCATGGCTATAGCTCAGTCAGTTTTACAGATACATGTTCAGCTGGTGTTACAGCCTGACAGCCTCTATCACTGCAAGTGCCATCCAGCAGGTCCTTCAGTTGCCACCACAAYAGATACCAATGATCTTCAGGTCACAGCTCCTGGAAGCCCCACCTACAAACGAGGCCCTGAAGATGTTCCTTTACTACTTCTTTGGGTAGAGCGACAGAATTGCATGAAACCCTCTCCAAGACACCTTTCAGAGACTCCAAAAATGCTGGGTAATCTGAACTGTTGCTTGATGGATCAACGCAAACAAGAGTCAGAACCTTTCCTCCTGTGACTCAAGGTCACAGAGGGACAGTTCTCTCACCAGTTAGGACTCCAACACTTACGGCCTCTACATACTCCCTCCAGAGTGCCGAAATCGGCTCTTGTTGCAACTGAATGACGAAAATTACATTATTTGGTTCGGAGTGCCGACAAGACCTCTGCTTCTTGACACAAGGCCTTGGCCAAACTGTTTCTCACCGAGCTCTGTGTGTAGCATTGTGCGATTTGTCTGAAGTTTGTAGGCGTGTTTGTTTATGCTGAAAACACTCAGATGCTGCATTTTGCTCCAATTACTCGCTTCCTGAATGCGACCATTGCACCCAGAAGCAGACCTTTATAATGATGGTCAAACGACCAAAAACTTTTTTGCATGGAGGAGTCTATCTGCAGCAAAGTGTGGAGCTTTAACTGGGACAGATTTGTGGACAAATAAACGAGCATCAGAGTTTTTTTCAGAGTGTAGACTCCAGCAGGAAGGAACCCCATGCAGTGACGTATGCCACAGCGGAATGTATGTTTCACAAATCACACACTTGGTTTTAAACATTCTGCGATCAATGTAGAATAATCTAGTCCAGGTTTGAATTCTATGTGTTTTAGTTATTAAACTAGAGTGGATTAAAGAAGCTCAAGGCAGTGAAAAGAGGTGGAATCACCCTTTAGCCATTCCTGAAAACTTCTGCATTTTTTTCTCATAAATTTACAAGTTTTTTTCTTGTAAATTTCTGACTTTACCATGTCAGAAAATATCTAGTTTAAATGTTGCAAATTTCTGCCTTTAATTATGGAAATTTCTGAGTTTTTTTCTCGCAAATTTGCGACTTTTCAAAATAAGAGAATTGCCTGTTTTTTCTCGAAAATTTCTGAAATTAATCTCAGAAATTCTGAGTTTTTCCTCAGAGATTTGCTCCTCCTTTTATTTTTCATCGGCAAAGTGGCCCTAATACGCCGTCGTACTGGGAATGCCTCCTGCTCTGGGCTTTTAAATGTACATTGCCCTGAGACAACGTATGTTGTGACTTGGCGCTATATAAATAAACTGAATTGAATTGTTTATTCACAGCTTTCAGGTTTAAAAACTTTATTTTTGGCTAATCTGATCTGATCTGATCTGATCTGATCTGATCTGATCTGATCTGATCCATAGATTATTATCTGTCCACAGAACAGTACTGATTAATGGCAGTAAACAAATATTTCATGTGTATTTGTTTCATGTAAACATGATGAGACCGCGGCATAAATAAAATGTCTTTGTAGGTCTTTCCTAGCCATTTTTGTGAGCAAATCTGCCAGTAACTGATGACAGATACAATAGATGTAGAATCTTAATACCACATTATTGCAGTTTGACTGTTTCAAAATTGAAATAGTTTTTCTTTACAATGTTGTACTGATGCAAGTGCTGAATCAGAAATGAAAACTGGATTTAGCAAAGTAGGCAGAGCAGTTTAAGGTCAAAATAATTCACAGGTTCACAGTGAAAACTGCCCATTTAACTAAGTCTTACAATCTTATATCCTGTCCAAAAGTTATTTTTTTATCTTATTTTAAGACTGATATACTATTAGCAAAAGCAGAATGTGTCAGATTATTAATCTTGTTAGCATGGACATTTTTTCTTATTTCAAATAGTCTTACCAAGTRCAATTGTCTAACTGCACTGTACGATTATTTCACTTAATCTGTGAGGATTCAGACTATAATCTAGCATTAATAATATTACGCTTATTTTTAGATGACTAATTTTTTTTACAGAGTTTTTACTTTACTTGTACTTTTTTATACATTTCTGTTTTTTCCAGGTTTGACGTTTCTAATCCGTCCAGCAGACTGTTTATCTGGTTTTGGTTGTGTGTGTGAGTTTGTCTGACTGTGCTTTTTCTTACCCAGGTCCAGTCCCACGGTGCTGTTCAGTTGACTGGAATGATAAGTTCTGCCCAGCATGCTGTGTGTGCTCCTGGACATGGGAATCTGTAATGTCAACTCACTGGTTGAACATGGTTTTTGCCTCACCAGGGCATTGGTGGGGTACAGGAACTGAGCGTATGACACAGACTGAAAAAGACCAGTGGAAGGAGGAGATAAACCAACAGAATCTGAACATTAAAAGAAGAACATGGGAACACTGTGAGTGTGACTTAGTTGGGACAACTACCCTGCCATAACAGTCCAGCTGGAAGCCCTCCAGGCCTGGCAGCATCTCTAGGGTGGTGGAGATGTTTCCTGAGGAGTGTCTCCTCCGGGAGTGGTTTAATGTGGGCTCACTGAACAAACAAAAAACAAAAATATACTGTATACCAGTGGTTCCCAAACTTTTAATCTTCTGACCCACAAAATATCCATGGCAAAAGCTTGTGACCCCAAATATTACTGGTCTGAGTACACAAGCTTCGTTAACAACCTTAAAAACATAGGCTTTTTGACAATCTAAACAGCTTGTACACAAATATAAATACTTATTTATACTTTTGTGTGTTTTTGTAATAGTTATAGGGAAAATATTACATCAGCAATTATTTTATTACCCTTTAAATTGATTTCTGGAGATTATCCAAGGTGCTTCATGACCCATAATTGGGTCCCAAGCCCAACTTTGGAAACGAAAGTGCAGTGGTTCCCAAACTTTTCAGCTTTTGACCCACAAACTCAGAGACCTGTGTTCCCAACTATTTTTGGAGGATAAACATTTTTATCAGGTCAACTAAACATGGGCATAGTAACAATATTTTAAACTACATTTATC